CCAGAGTGAATTCTCCAGGTAACTGAAGCTTAACTTTAAAGCATGTCATTTCAACCTTCTGTTTTTCCCCTAGCGGGAAGTTCCTTTGAAATGTAGGTAGGGTAGGAAGGTAATGTAGTATGTCAGCCTGGTCCTATTGGTGGACGGCGGCAGTGGGCCTTGGGCAGGCTCCCGTGGTCTCTGTCAGTTTCCTCATCTGTGGAGTAATCACAGCCCCACGTCATTGAGTTCAACTGAATGCAAGTGGCACCTGGCAAGGAATCAAAGCTGTTAAATATTCACTAAATACCAAGCGCTCTTACAAGTACTTTTTTACTTTGCATAACAACGTACGAATCAGGTATTGTTGCTGTTCCCATTTCACAGCTAAGGGAAGGGAATCCCTGAGAGGCAGAGTCACCACCAGGTACTCTGGCCTTTCTGCTCACACCATTGCCTCTGGCTGCCTAATCCCAGGAAGTAGTCCATCAGTGGGGGCTGAGAAGAGTAACAGATACACAAATTCTTATGAGGTCCTGGTTAATGGCCCTTCCTTTTGCTGGACAGTGCACTGAGGGTGGGCCCGCATAGCTCCTCCCTGTGGTGTACATGCAGGATCAGCCTCAGCTGCCTATTTTTCCTTTCTAATAGCAAACCAAAGATTGCATAAAACAAAGTGTTTCTCTTTATTTCTCCTCTTCTCTTTAAGATGAAGAGAAAGCAAATTTAACCTATAGGAGTACATTAGAAGCATGAAGTGTGGGTGATCTGCCTCTTGCAATTCTGAAGACGCAAGTACAGGAGAAAGGCACACATAGATTACAGAAACAGCTTTGTCTTCTGTTTATTAGCTTAGTTCTTTATTACCTGCAGCTTTGTGTGTTGAGGTCAACACTGTCTGAGCTCTGGTGCTTTCCTTTCTGAAGAAGTTACTGTCTTCACCTCACCCTCTAATGCTCTGCTTTTAGTACTCTTCTGGTTTGAATATGAAGTGTGCCCCCCAAATCTCCTGTGATGATGCAGGAATGTTCAGAGGTGAAATGATCAGACTGTGAGAACTGTAATCCAATCAGCCCATCATATAATCCAATCAGTCCATCGTATTTTAATAGGACTAGGTGGTATAGTAACCATGGGCAGGTGGACATGGCTAGATGAGGTTGATCGTTGGGGACATGGCCCTGGAAGGAGTCATATTCGGCTCCTTCCCTCTCTCTGCTTTCTGGCTGCCCATGAATGGAGCAGTGCTCCTCTACCACAACCTTCCACCATGGTGATCTGTCTCACCATGGGCCCAGAGCAATGGAGTTGGCCACCCATGGACTAACTCTGGAAGAGTGAGCAAAAAAACCCCACATATTTTGTTCACAGTGATGGAAAGCTAACAGAGGTGTCTCCAAATCAGAGACTTATACAGGAATTTTTGTTGTGGATTGACTCAAATTAAAGGCATTTACCTACAAGCTTAAGTCTACCCACAAAAAGCTAAAATCTTGGAAGTAAGCATAAATAATTCTGTTTAATAGCAGTAAGCTCACTCCTCAGATACCAATTGTCATTTGAGTATTTCAAGTATTTTATAATGGGGTGACTTAGTAGTAACAAGTTGTAGACCTGCTTTTGCCTAACTTAACCCTCAGATATCTGAAACTTCTATAAATAAAAACATTGGCACAAAATTATAAAGTAATATTTTGAGGACGTTAACCAAGATATCCTGTTCAATGTTTTGGTCTTCCTCCAAACTGTGGTACTTTGAGACAAGGATCAGCAAGCAGTATGTTATGGTGCATAGGGCTGCAGGCTGAGTTTGGTAGACTTGGCTTCAGATCCTAGCTCTGCCATCTAAATGTGTCACTTGGGACAAGTTGGCTTCAAGTTTTCTTTTTCGGACTGTGAGGATACCTGTGTTTGCATCACTTGGCTCTTGAACACCTGAATGTATAAAAAGCCTTTCCACGGTCTCTGGAAACCAGTAAGGGCTGAATTAGTGGGAGCGCTCTTTCTTTACCCTGGGCTTTGTTATGCCATACATACCCAGCTCCTGTCAAGGCTGGAGTTACTAACAACATGTTTGCTTTGAGTCCAGCCTCTGTTTTCTATATGCTTCGACCACCACATCACTGACCTTTATCCTTCCCCAAGTCATCAAACCCATCTTCCTCCTGGCACTCAGCGTTCACCATGTCTTTGCACACTGTGCGTGCCCTGACATTCTTGTGTTCATCTCTGCTCCGACACACATGCAACACCCTGAGCAGAGACCATCTCCCTAATATGGGGTGGAGTTCTGAGAGCTCAGTCAATGCTGTGTCCAGTCGTTTTCCATCCACTGTGGTCAGACCACAGCCATTTGCTGTCTTAATTGGAGCACTCTTTCCCTTTGGATCTGCAACTTCTTTCTTCTGCCATACTTCAGCCTTCGGTTATTTTGGACCTGTTTTCTCACAGCATGGTGGGTTTGAAAACTGTGCCTGTCTCTTTGCATATTAATACACATAAAGTGCATCCAAAGTACATGGTCACTAGTTAGCACTGCTGCTGGTTCCACAACTTTGAATGAAACTCAGACATTTGTCTATAAAGAACACTTTCTGCATGGACATTTTCTTATAACATCCAGGATCTTTCCAGATAAAAACTGCAAAGATGAGGCCTATGATGCTGCCCTAAACTGCTGACCCTTTTGCTAGTCATATTAACTTGATAATCTCCTGACAAACTTAATAGAAAAATGAGAGGAAAATAATTGGTACTTGTAATTGGTCATAGCCTTATATTCACCATAACATGGAGGAAAACAAATTATAACTCAGTTACTTGAGAAAAATGATGTAATATCTGGGTAGCTGAGGGAGGTCAGTACAAAAGCATTTGTATGTGCATCTGTCTGTCTAGTAGTTATATGACGTTATTGGCAGTGCCTAGAAACCCCAGGGGTGTGGCTAGACTTCCTTGGATAGAGACACAAATTGGAAAAAATATTCATAGTTCCACAATTACCATAGTGAGCTCTGCTGGATTTTACTGCTTCTAGCTATGGGGAGTAGCGGGCAAATTCATTTCCGGGCATGTGTAACATGAGCTTGGATGTTATTGTTGAGCACTTTGCAGGGGCCAAAAAAAAAATGGTTAATCAGAAAGACTGTCAAGATTTGAAGTGGGCTGTGACTTTTCATTGCCATTGATTTTACCCTAGAATCCTGTAATATTTAAAATCTTTTATGGGGAAAAATGGACATTTTCCTGTTATAGACTATAACTCACATCCTTAATCATGGCTTACAGTTTTATTGGGAATCAAAAATTCCAAAGTAACATTATGGAATAAATATTGCCCTCTCTATGTTGCACTGTTAACTATACCCATTGTATCTCATTTCTAAATAGATAGGGAGAGAACTGATATAGTTTATAAACTTGGGTGTTTTGGGGATTGGGCTGTGTCTTCAGCCGTTTTGCCTCCTGTCCAAAGATGAATTAGTCCTTGTGCAAATCCCTGAGAGACTCCCTAACTCTTTGCATATTAACCCTTTCCTCAACTTGATCATTACTGTGGAATCCGCTTACTTCTAAACATCTCTTAAGTGAAGTGATCAGATAAATTTGGAAAATTTTTTTTTCTTGAACTGTGCGATCTGCTAAATATTCTGGGGAAACATTTTGGCTGTGCTTAGTCTGTTAATGCTGGTTACATCATGGGAGCTATAGATTTCTTGGGCGTACAAAATGATTGCATATTCATGAACATCTTCAATCCTGAAATATTTGTAAATAACTTGGCAATTTTTTTTCATAAGGTTGCCTATTAAAATGATCAGGACTTTAATTGTTCACACAGAAAGAAGTTGTGCTTACAAAGGAATGCCTCTTTGATAAGTAACGTATTTATAGGCTAAGCAACTTGGACTATGGACATACAAATCACCTTTCTTAAACAAAGTATAAGAGATGCTATTTTCTGCCTAAGGATGATTCAAGTTTGAAAATGTCAATAGATGCAAAAAGCCACCCTAGAGCTTTGCTCTCTCAAAAGAAAGTAGAGAAGGAATGACATAGTCAATGTTAACTGTCACCAGATGAAGAGAAATCAGATTGTCAGGCCTGGATCTATAAAATTCTTGCCAAAGTAGGACTTCATTTACACATACAGATCTTCATACCCTTTGCTAAGAAAAGCATCTGTGGCAGTTTAGATGTTTGTGCGTTTGCCAAAGATCTTTCACTCTGAATAAAGTAAATGTCATGTCTGTTGTTTATCTCAAATTCAGCGGAGTATTTTTAAAAGGAAATATTTGCGGGGGAGGGTCGAGGGAGAAGGGAGGCGGAGGCGGGAGCTCCAAGGAGGTGGGTGTGGCTGTTGTTTAGGAGGACCAGAGGGGGTCTCCGGAAATAAGCCTAAGACATACTTGGGGCTCCTGAACTGAAAATGTCCTTTTGAAGTGACAACAGTACAGCAAGTTGGAATGTGGAGTCTTCCTGAATCTATACCTAGTCTGTCAACACCCCCCAAATCCAGTTAATTTAGTCAAACTGATTATTTGGCATCATGGAGACACAGCTGTCTTGAACTAAAATCCTGAACACGTGGAGATGGCATTGTACCCAGAGCCAGCCAGTACAAGGGGATCTGTGTACAAAGGCTCACGCAAACGTCAAAGATTGGAAATAGAAGTTAATTGCTCCAAATTTAAGCTAGAACCCCAGTGAACAATTAAAAAAAAAAAATTCTTGTGGTAAATTTTTTTGGCAAACAGGTACCATTGGTAAATTAAGATTCAGTTAAGAGTATGATGTCATGTAACTTCGCAAATTGCCTTTAATATAAAAAGTAAAGAGAATTATCTACTTCTTAAAAAACTACTATTTACCTGGTTTATTGGTACTCAAGGTCCTAATGGGAAATATTTCAGATAATGCAGTTATTACTCTTTGGAAAAGTCAAGTATTTGTCTTAAATGAGTATGGTTTGCTCCGTGGAAGTATTCTGTGTGACCCTGAATTTCGCTGTCTTCCCCCAGATGATATGGAAGCCATTCCTGTCAAACAGTTTGTCAAACACATCGGGGAGCTCTATTCTAATAACCAGCACGGGTTCTCTGAGGATTTTGAGGTATGTTTCAAAACTGGAAGTTTCTAGAAAATTAATTCTTCAGAGATTATTGTCAACCTGAGTTTATTTTCGGCATAACAAAACAACTGACCATTGGAGATTATTTTTTTCATATGTGATTTTTACAGCCATTCTCTTCCCAGAAAAATCATGTGAAAGGGAATTGGTTGCACTGGTCCTGAACATGTGCTTTTGTGAAAGAAAGAACCGACTTAATGGTTGAAAAGAGGCAGATAGTGGGGGTTGATTTTGGATGTTCTTTCTTCACCTTCCTTCTAGTGGGGAAATCATAGTTAAGTGCCCCAATTCCCTGTCGTGTCTACGCTGCACGTGGTATAGTGGAGACAGCAGGTTGGCGTGAGGAACTGGGTGCTGGCTGCACCAGTAGTGAGCTTCACAGCCCGTGGGCCAATCACTTCATCTCTGATCCCTAGTTTCCTCATTGAAAAAAAAAAAAATGCTGCTAATGTCGCCCACATCCTAAAGTTGTTACAAAACATACATGATAAGCATCTTTGAAAGTGCTGGGTTAATTATTAAGAAGCAAGCAAATCATTGATGGTGGTTGTTTGCATGATTATTAATCCTTGGAGACAAGACGTGGTTAACACAGCCTTCTGATTTTAAGAACTGGTGTATAGGAAACAAGGTAGAGCGTGGCACGCGCTATCCTGCCAACTCTGGGTTCTGTGCCAGTTCAGCAGTGACAGGGTGTCAATGAGGAGCTATTAAACAGACTGCCCTTTTCTTCACTGAGGCGCTTAACTAAGGCACATCTCTGGCAGCAAGAGTTGTGCCGAGGAGGCCAAGTTTTCATGGCAGCTCAGCTGTCTTCTAGCTTTGTGGGTAAGTCGGTTCCTTTCTCGTTCTCATTTCTACTTTAAAATGGAAATGACGGTGATGACGCTAACCTGCCCATCTCTTTTTCTACACAATTGGTTCTGGGGCTCAAGTGAGGGGATGGGAGGTAAGTGCTTGGGGAATCATCCGGGAGCCACACAGCTGGGAGGAGTAATCATCCTACAGGAACAATGAGAAATAGGACAAAAATCCTCTATGCAAATGTGGAATCCCCAAAGGCTACCAGAAAGGCAATTATATTGACAACTCATTTTAAATTAAGTCTTTCTCTTAGTTTTTGTGTCATCTCTTTGAGCAGAACAGGGGCAAAGGTGGTAGAAAGGACTCTTGTGATTTATTCTGCAAAGTCGTATGTTTCCTGGAACAAACAAAAGCATGTCAGGTACTTAATGCTCCTATTAGATGCCGACCCAAAAAGGTGCCTATTCAACTACAGTGAACATGGTTTAAGTCAAACATTTTGTATTCATGAGGACAGCAAATGTGTGTGGTGTTAAAGTGATTTAGTTCAATTGACTGTTGGCTGGATGACTGAGCAAGAATATTGAGGCATTTAACAATGTTGATGGTATTCAGGACAAACATTTATCCTCTAGAGAGCAGAACTTGATCAGGATGATCAAATGCAACTCTGGTTTCTCAATTATTTATGATTTGAGACCCCAGTGCTATTCATCACAGCTGGTTTTGACACCATTTAATTATTCAAAATAATCAGCTATACGTCTGTGTACTTAGTCTGACTTAAAATAGGCTTTGCTGCATCCAAATCATGACAGTTAACAAATTCTGGGCATCTGTGCCCTTAAAAATAAATAAATAAATAAATAAATACATTGACTGAGAAATTTAGCCCCCTTCCCTGAACTTTGTAGTTTAAATATTGTTTGCTGATATTTATAGGACTGGAACAGGGAATGCAGGCAGGAAGGACATATCTTTCTACTGTTGTCACCTCACAATCTTTCCTGGCTTCAAAGATTGAAAATTGAAGCTATTCAGATTAGGAAGAATATTCTCTTTTTCTAAAGAGAACAGTAAGGGGGAACGTAAAGGGCAGAGTAAGTACAAAATCTTGCCTTCTAATTTAGTAAAATTTGAAAGATTTTAAAAGCATTTATTCCTTTTTGGTAATGAGCTACATTTAAAAAAGAAAACACCTAAGGTTGTTTCATAAACAGTTAATAATAGGCTCTATAAAGAAAGGCAGAAAAAAGATTGTAGTGATTAAAAAGTAAAGGGTTTATTTTTAATTATTTTGATAGTAGTACTCTCACCTTTGGATTTCTAGATCCATATAAGAAATATTGATGGCTAGCATTCACTTAGCACTGTGAATCCACTGTTTTACTCCTTCAGAAATACCCTCTGAGGTAGGGCTTATTGACCTTACCTTTCAAATGAGGAAACTTTGCCCATGAGATAACTAAGGCATTGGGTGTCTGTTTTTGGAATGGCAGCAGCAGGGTTTAAGACTAAGGCTGTCTTGGTTCAAAACTACCTGGTTAATTCTGAGACCATCCACATTCTCATTAAAGTCACACTCATTATATAATGAGCCAAAGTGAGAAGCAGAACTAGCCAAGATGGCAAGTGACATTCTGAAACTGGCCATGAAGCTAGGATTTGGCAAAAAATAAAAAGAGCCCCCTCTTAAGAATACTATTTGGTCCTGGTGATCTAGAGCCTGTACAGCTAGCTCATATTTTGATTTTCAAGACAGGAACAGTGGCACACACCTGTAATCCTAGCAGCTCAGGAGTCTGAGGCAGGAAGATTCCAAGTTCCAGGACAGCCTGGGCAACTTGGCAAGACCCTGGCTCCAAAAAGGCCGAGGATGGAGCTCATTCGTAGAGCACTTGCCTGAAACTGGGGAAGGTCCCAAGTTTGAGCCCTAGTGTCCCACAAAAAATCAGATGTTATTAACAAAACTCTCACCCAACATCTGAATAGAGGCCTAGAATTAGTCATCGTTCCAGTCATAGAGTAAAAGAGAATACCACTTAGTAACTACTAGATGAGTTGTTTTGTTGACTAAGGACTCGCCAGAGACCACTCTCTGGACATAAGGTACAATGGTGAATTGAGTCTTCACCATAGTGGCCAAGGTTGTAGCTCTATGGCAAAGCTCTGTGCACCAACAGAATTATTAGGCAAGGTTTGGAAGAATCAGAAGTTTAAAGACTGGGTACAGAGATGAAACCAGAGGTCCCAAGCTCCTTGACAAGATCCTCTGGGGGATGGCCCCTGTTACATCAACCAGCTGAGGTAAATCTGGGCTGGCTGATCTTCTTAAATCAAGAGAGCATGAGGACCTTTTTGGTATTGAGCTACATTAAGAAACAGCCTTAGTTAACCGTTAATAATAGGCTATATAAAGAAAGGCAGAAAAGGAGAAGAAGAAAAAAATGCAGAGTCCTTGCCCTAAATAGTTTGGTCTGATGGGGAGACCAGAGTGTTTACACAACTATAGTAAAACGGGACAAAGCAAAACTCAGTGCTAAAATGCAGGTCTGGAGTTCTGAGGGACTGAGAGGAGAAAGGCACCTAGGAATTCTGATTAGTTATTTCAGTGAACATTCTTTCTGCCCCATGTGGTTTAAAAATCTTGGAAGTAAAAAAATTTGGTGAATAGCTGTCATATTTTCAGAGCTCTGCTACTTCAGCAAGAATAAGAAAAACAACTTCAGTGGGAATATTGAGTCTTTGTCTAGAGGTGATGCTGAAAGCTAGCATTTTGTCCTTGTCAGATAAATTTTGGACACTGTGAAAAGCTGTTGACATTGTACCTCTAGAAGATTTTGCAGTCAGTGGCAATAACATCAATCCTTGTCTCAGGGTAATATTTGATGATTCCAGTACCCAAGTTCTCTTCACCCTCACTGTCCTTCCTTTTCATGAAATGGCTTCCAAGGGTGGTTTTAAGGTATGAGCAGCCACTTTCCTGGCCCCCACCATCATAATGCACGACATCTCCAAAAATGCAGTGGCAGCACTCTCCTTCAAAAGGAGGGAGCTCCAAAGCTCTGTGCACCAAAAAAAATTATTAGGCAAGGTTTGGAAGAATCAGAAGTTTAAAGACTAGGTATAGGGATGAAGCCAGAGGTCCCAAGCTCCTTGACAGGATCCTCTGGGGGATGGCCCCTGTTACATTAACCAGCTGAGCTAAATCTGGGCTGGCTGATCTTCTTAAATCACCTGAGCCCATGCTCTGAGGGAGTAGTGGCCACAGTCACTTTGTGTCACGAAAGGACACTACCAGGGTTGCCGATGACATATGACAGAGGTGTAATGCTGCCTCAAGACTGCTGCCTGCAAGAGGGCAGAAATTGACTCTGTGATGCTTTTGTGTCAGAATGCCAGTTTAGACTTGGATATCAAAAACATTTTAGACCCTTTTTATGAAGAAAAAAACACAACTGTTTAAGAGGAGGCACTCTGCAAAGAAAGTGAACTAGCTAAATTTCAAAAACTGCACATGGAAAAAAAATTATTCTATGTCCTAGGCCAGCTACATTGTGCTCTATGGAGACAGAGGGGAAAGGCAGTCATTTTAGGTAAAGACACACAGATTTGGATAGGGGAAGAGAAGAGGCATTCTTAGCAAGGTAAATGGCAGGGAAGCCAAGAGCAGGGAACCATCATCTTCCAGAGGGCATGGGAAGGCAGTTTGTGGAAGATGGCTGGGACCTCAAAAGGCTGGTGAAGAAATTGGAGGTTTCTGAGCAAGTCAACACAATGGAAGGTGGCCAGGCTGGCAGCACTTCGTGACCTGAGTGAAAGAGGGCAAAGGTGGGAAGATGCAGAGTATGTGGCACCTGTCAAGCACTGAGCCACAATCATGACCTGAGACAAGCAGTCCTCTGTAGATCAGGTCCTGTCCCATGGCCGTGGGCCTCAATGGTCATATGCTCAGTCCAATACGGGGTCATCAAGTCCACGTATTTTCTTCCAGTCTTGTCTTGGTGAAAGATTTCAGATGTGTTTTGTTCAGCTTTATTATTATTATTATTATTATTATTTTTAAATGGAAGCACAGAAGGCAAAGCAGCAGGTCTTGAAGTATGCTCTAGCCAGCATCTCCCATTGACAACTCCAGGCAAGAAGTAATCTAGCTTCTCAATTCGTAGTCTTGCAAATGAACTATTTTTGTTGTGTTAGACCTCCTTTTCTCCCCACTGGCCCTCTCCTCTGGTTGTATGACTGTTCATATTAAGACTTGATTCTTACATAGAGAAAATGCAAACAAGTTTAAAATATCAGTGCTAATAAATAGGTTACTTTACTATATACACTCCATTGGCCAGTGTCATTTTAAATGGTTTTAATACCTATTATAATCAAATTAACTCTGAAATGCCAGTTTTGATGGAGAAAAGCCACTCTAGGATCAGATGATATTATCTGCATCTAAATGAGCCACACAGTCCTGCGAGGAATTACAAATGACATTATTACCCACAAGATAAAATCAGAAGGCCTTCAGCAAACCCCATGAATTCTAATGAAATCAGATTTAACATTATTTATGACTATGTTTTTTTTTCTGTCATTCACATAATTGGAAAAGTGAAATAGAGGCAACAGATTAGACCGAGGGTTTTGGATAACAAAAGAGTTTGGCCATATTGAATGACTGTTTTAAACCGTGCAGACAGCTGCTCCCAGGCTGTCCTGGTCAGTTGCAGTACATTGTAATAGAGGCCCAACCTCAGTGTGTAGTTCGGGCTGTCAGATCCACACAACAGAGGAAGAAAAATCAATTACAAAAAGAATGAGACTAAAGGACTAAAAGCAAAAATCTCTCAGAATAAAATCTCTAAACGGCTCAACTCATAGAGGTTCAAGCCAGAGGTATGACTTTCCAAACCCAAGGATGTCAGTTTGTTTCTGGGATTTGTAAGTAGAGGAATTAATACCATCCAGAATACAAATCCACTTGCAAAAGCTTCCTTCCTTTGAGACAATTCTAAAGGGTGTTTACAGTAGTTCTAAAAGAGAGGTCCCACTATTTCAAGTACAGTTAACATTGCTTATGTTCTTGTAGATGTTAACCAATCCAGACTCATGACTTTTTGCCTGTGCTTTGAAAAGAAATGAGCCAAAGGCAGCCTTCAGGCCCTTTAAACTAGTGTTTGCAAAACCATTAGTTATGAACTATCGTAGAATAGAAAGCAGCAGAGCTTATCACATTTAGTAAGGATAAGAAACAGTAAACACGTCAAAAACACTCCCTAAAGAGGCAGGTTGAATTAATGTTGTGGGTCTTTTTTGTAAATGGGCAGCTGGGAAATTCCACAAATATGAAAAATTCAGTGTATAATTTCCAAGAATCATCGAGTCCATAAATATAGTTCCTTTGAAGAGATAGTAACCCTTTGTTATTATACGTGACATTCTTTGACTATAGTGAGCCCCTCCTTAAGGGAGAAGGGGGACTCCTTTCTGGGAAGTACTTTGTGAATATAAAAGACAACCAGTTCCTTGTTTTCATTATGCTTAATGTAAATGCTGTGGAAAACATCCGTAATTGCTATGCAACTCCTTTGTGAAAAAAAGTCGGCACACTCCTAAACTCTGTTACATCTGCTACGTGTAAAACATTTCTCCTGATAATTTTGTGTTATTTTGCTCCTGCTCTTTGGAGCAGCTGTGCAGTGCTAATGACTTCCCTTATTAGTTAACTCCAGTCCTTTCCTGGGTTTGAAGCATACAGTGTGGAAAAACTTGGCTTTTCGGCAACCTTGTATTTGGCTAATGGATAATGTTTATATCCAGGGCCAAGACGGTGGTCGAATTGTTTCTGCCACTGCTGTTTTTCTAAAGAAAGTTCACTTAGATGAAATGAAGTGTTCACAAATAATTTCAGGGCCACGCATATCCAAGCCAGACATGACAATTAGACTACAGATTAGTGTCATTTCAGGACTGAGTCTTCATAGTCAATTTGCAGTCTCATAAAATGAGACCATGAGGCCTATGAATATATTTCAAATCATGATAGAAACTGTGCTTCTTGGGAATACCCATTATCTTCTGAGACACAAGTAAATTGTTGTCATCTCCTGGTTTAAGCTTTCCCCTGTTCCTCTGTCTTTGCTTCCATCCTCCTTTTTTTCAGGCCTCTTTTCTGTGGTTCACATTTGGTAGCTACAGAATCTTTTTCTTGTAGACTACAACATAGTCAGAGAGATTTTTTTTTTTTAAATCCCAATGCATAGGTCAAAAGCTGGAATAAGGAGATGGATGAATTCATAAATGAAAACATTATACCTTAATATTCTACATTTGCTTGTTACAATCATGGCTATAATTATATCAGAAATTAGGATTGGGGAGGTTCTGGTGACTGTCAGTGCGAGGCAATAAAATATGTCTATCAGTGTGTGTGTGGTCATTGCTTAAAAATAAGGACAAGTTCTGAGAACTGTCTCATTCAGCAGTTTCATCCTTGTATGAACAACATAGACCTGATGATCTTGGTCACTTAGCATCGCCTCTTGATGCAAACCAGGCACGTGGCACTATTGCAGTTATTAAAATGACAGTGTTTTACACTAAACTTGTCTTAGGTGTATGTTATAAAAGAATGATTAAAATATAGTACACAGTTAATTATCATCATCTCGTGTGCTTAGGTATATATGCTGGTCCTTTGTGTGACTGGTATGGCACAAGGTTTGTATCAGCATCGCCACAAGTACATGAGCCATGTCCTGCTCTGGTATTACCACGGTTTCAACTTTTCCAGGTGATGGGAATTTTTCAGCTGCAGTAGGGATCACTGTGCATGCTTTGCAAAGCATAACTATAACTCCTTTGTTTTTTAAAGGCTGTTTAAAACCTTACTGTTCATTCTCTTCACTAGGAAGTCCAGCGCTGTACAGCTGATATGAACATCACTGCAGAACATTCCAATCATCCAGATAACAAGCACAAAAACAGATACATCAACATTTTAGCATGTGAGTAACAGACTTTTAAACCATCTTTGACTCTGAGGAGATTACATTTTCATGCTGGGTTTAAGCTGACAGGCAAGCAATCAGAAACAGGGTGCCAAGAAAGAATGATATTTGTAAGCTAACCTCTCCTTAGACCATCTTCAGTAGTGTGGGGACATGTTTGGCCCCCTTAGCCTCTTGTTAGGCTGTCACCATGTGAAATGTTCCAAGCCTATTTTCGTGTGAAGTGATAGCACAACAGATGTTGGGAGTCAAAGCTTGGATGTCACTTGGCTGTCTTGACCTTGATTTTAACCTACTCTTCTGTATTCTTTTTATACCTTAATTTTAATGTGGTGCTGGGGATCAAACCCAGTGCCCCACACATGCTAGGCAAATGCTCTACCACTGAGCTAACCGCAGCCCTTAATCAACTTTTTTTTAAAATATTTTTAGTCGTAGGTGAACATGTTACCTTTATTTTTGTGTGCTGAGGATTGAACCTAGTACCTCATACATGCTAGGCAAGTACTCTACTACTGAGCCACAAACCCAGCCCCCCAAATTTTTATAATACAAATAAAAATTGGTGGAATTAAGTAAATTTCCAGGCAGTCTCTATAAGACTTCCTAACTGGCCTTTCCTTAAAGGATGAGCCTCCAGTCCTGGCCCATGCATTTAGGCCTATCTTCAGGGCCAAGGGCATGCTGGAGATTAGGGATTCAAACAAACAGGCATTTTTTATATAGAACCTCAAAGAATACTCTCAGACTTTAGGCTACTTCTGTGCAAGGCCACTTTTCATGGACACGGAGGACTTCGGTCATTGGACGAATACAGATTGTTAGTAATATGAAAATCTGGAACTCCTTGAAGCACTGACATGACAAAAAGTTTCAGACTAGGGATGCTCAGCCAGTACAGTCTATGCAAACTATTACAGAATGAGGGGAGAGGGGGAGATCTTGAACACATCTGGTCCCAAACATTTCAGATAAGGATACTCTAACATATAATAAGGACCACATTATATAGAATTTTATATAATAGAGTTTGCATCGTAAAACTTAAAATTTGAACACAACTGTTAAGTTTTTGTAATAAAGCTTTTGGGAGATATAATTCACATACTGTATGTATAAATTTTACCCATTTAAGTTTACAATTCAGTGGGTTCTGGTATATTGCAAGAGTTGTACAGTCACCACAATGCAATTTTAGGGTATTTTTATTACCCCGAAAAAGAAACCCAATATCTGTTAGCTGATACTCCCATATCCTAGCAATCTCTTGTCTGTTTTTGGGGGGGGACTTGCATATTCTGGCCATTTCATCAATATTCATCCAGGCTGTACCCATATACATATATTCATCCACTGCTTTTTTATAGCTAAAAATATTGCATTTTATGGATATATAAGTATTGGTTATTCATTCATTTTCCCTACTTTTTGGCTATAATAATGCTGCTGTGAACATCCACACACAAGGCTTTATATGGACATGTATTTTCAGTTCTCTTGGGTATACATAAGAGAAGAATTGCTAGGTTCTCTGGCAACTCCCAAGTTTGACATGGTGAGGAACTATCAAATTTTTATCCAAAGTGGCCGCACCAGCAATAGGTGAAGGGGCCAGTATCTCTACATCCTTACCAACGTGGATTTTTATGTTTTACATAACAGCCTCTGGGCGTGAAGTGTATCCCATTTCTCTTTTGGGAGAGTTTTGTTTGTGGGTATTGGGGATTGAATCCAGCGGCGCTTAGCCACGCAGCCATATCCTTGCCCGTTTTTATATTTTATTTAGAGACAGGGTCTGGCTAAGTTGCTGAGTCTGGCTTGGAATTCATAATTCTCCTCCCTCAGCCTCTGGAGCCACTGGGATTACAGGTGTGCCCACTGCACCTGACCCCATTATAGTTTTGATTTGCATGTATTTATTGGCTACTTGCATATCTTCCTTGGAGAAATGTCTGTTTTTGACCCTTTACCTGCTTTTTGGGGGAAAAATGGATTATTTGTCCTTTTACTGTTCAGTTGCAAGGTTTCTTTACAAATATCCTAGATCTAGGTCCACTGTCCACTATAAAGATTGCAAAGTTTTTCACCATTATCTTTTCAGTTCAATGGTGTCTTCTGAAGCACACATCTTTACATTTTGGTGAAACTCGGCTTACTTTATTTTTTTTACTAGTGGCCAGGGGTTTTGGTCTCATATCTAAGAAAGAATTGCCTATTCCAATATACCATCAAGGTTTTTATTTTTTACATAACAGCCTTTGGGTGTGAAGTGGTATCCCATTTTATCCCATTTGAGCACTGACATGAATTTTATGGTTTGGGTTTTTATATTTAGGTCTTTGATCCACTGTGAGTTAATTTTTATGTGTGGTCCGAGGTTCTTTTCAGTGAATACATAGGAATAGATTTGCTAAGTTACATGGTGACATTCCACCTTCATTCTTTTCATGTCCCAGAACCATTTGAGAAGACTTTCCTTTCCCCATTGAATTGTCCTAGTACTTTTATTGAAAATCAGCTGGCCATGAAGGAATGGGTTATTTCAGGACTCACAATCACATTCTGTCAATCTTATGTCTATCCTTTTGCCAATACTGTACTGTCTTCATTACTGACAGCTTTGTGACAAGTTTTGAAACTGGAAACTGTGAGCCCTGAAAGACGACTTATGAGTCCTTTTTTTCAAGATTCTTTTCGTTTTTCTGGGTCTGTTGTGTTTCCATATGAATTTTTATGATCAACTTGTCTATCACTATAGAAAGAGCTAGGGTTTATTTTGATGGAGATTGATTGCACTGAATGTGCAGATTAATTTGGGTATCCCTGCTATCTTAACAATATTATCCTCCAATCCATGAACATGGTGGTCTTTCCACTTATTTAGGTCTTTTATTTCTTTCATCAATTGTAGTTGGCTGTGTATTTCTTTTGACAAATATATTCTAATTGTTCACTTTATGGTAGTTTCAGGTTGTTGTCTACTGACAATTTATAAAAATAGTTGATTTTTGTATATTGATCATGTATACTACATCCTTGCTGCACCCATTTATTCTAATAGCCAATTTTGTGCATTTCTATAAAGATACTTTTACTACCTCAAGTTTTTGTTTTGGTAGATGGACACAGTACCTTTATTTTATTTATTTATATATATATATTATATATATAAATTATATATATAATATATATTTTATATATTATATATATTATATATATTATATTATATATATAATATATATATAATATATATTATATATATAATATATATATTATATATATATGTGGTGCTGGGGGATCGAACCCAGTGCCTCATATGTGCCAGGTGAGTGCTCTACCACAGAGCCACAACCCCAGCCCAAGTTTTAAAAGAACTACTTTACTTTCAAAAATTCAAATTAGAATCTTTTATTTTGACAAGTCCAGACAGCTGGGTTTTGTTGTTTTCTTGGTCATTTGGACTCGGGGCACATCACCTGTCACTTTTGTCTACCCTTAATATGAATGCCTTTATATAGCAATGTTGTAGAAACAGGACATCGGAAAAGCCTTTTCCCTCAGAGCTATTATAATTTTCAGAGTACATGTGGATGTCATCAAGCCACCTCTGTTTGTCAGTCTAAGAAATAACAATACAATGGCTAGTGAGGCATAAGCTGCTGTTATCCAGGTGCTGTAGAACAAAATTTTCATTTGCATTTTATGTCAACTGTACAGTTTCTTAGAATAACAAAGTAGAAAAATTCAAAGCTTTCCAAAATGTGCTTGGTAGAATCTGAGGTCATTTATCCCTAGGCTAATCCCTGAGTTGACTTCATTTTGAGCTAGCCTTTTTTCTTTTTGATGATGACTAGGGGGAAAAAAAAAAAGAAAAAACATCAACCTTTGCCCTTTGTGTTCCTTACTAGAGAAAATTTAAACTTCAGCTTCCCTTCACTACTTCTGTTCTCTTGAAACACTTAAGCTCGCTGTTTTGGGTAACTAGACACATGATGGTCCTCCCCACTCCAAACCGTTTTATTCCTAAACTAAAAATAGTGGATCTTAAGATCTGACCTCAGATTTTTCTTAAAATAACTGGTTTCTTTAGTTGCTTAAGTTCTGTGGAGATGACAGGGAATGGTATCAACTGAATACAATTGTTCTGTAACAGTCACTTTTTTCTGTCTGTTAATGGGAAGGAGATAGGTGCATAGTTCCCCAAAGGCCTTGGAACATGCTACAGGTGACAGCATGAGGAAGAAGTAGCCCTATGTTTATTTCTGTTTAATAGTTATTCTGCCACAGTTTTCTCAGGACATTCTGATAAATGGCACCTCACCCGATTGCCTTGTCTTTTATTTAGAATGCTACCGGGTTTAATTATAATGCTGTTTTTGCCTTCTCTCCTCCACAGATGATCACAGTAGGGTGAAGTTAAGACCTTTACCAGGAAAAGATTCTAAGCACAGTGACTACATTAATGCAAACTATGTTGATGTAAGTCAGAAAGATTCTTATAAACTCATTTCTGAACAGTGAAAGCTGCAGACTTGCATGTAGTTGAGTATCGCACAGAGCTTTCACTAAGAATGCAGCCTGCACAATGTGGAAGGGACTTGAATTATTAACCGGTCTTCCTTGACACTTCCTTCATCTCACTTTGTACTGTCATCTTTGAAGGGTTACAACAAAGCAAAAGCCTACATTGCCACCCAGGGACCTTTAAAGTCTACATTTGAAGATTTCTGGAGGATGATTTGGGAACAAAATACTGGAATCATCATCATGATTACAAACCTTGTGGAGAAAGGAAGAGTAAGAGCATCTTGGCTTATTATCTTAATAATGCATCATCAAAATATTTTAAGAGTTCTTGCTGTACTGTAGGAACATGACCAGGTATAAAGAGTTACAGAAGAGAGATGTGTTGGCTTTGCTCTTATCATAAAAGTGGTCTGGTGGAAAAGAGAGCTAGGGCATTCTAAGTATGGATTAAATGTGCTGATAGAGGTGTGTTACGAGATTGCTGTAACATGAAGGAATGCGATCTCTGGTGCGGAGGCTTTCAAAGAAGTTAATGTTTGAGGTGAAAGGACATTCAAGAGAAGAGCAAAAAGCAGGAAGATGCATATGGTAGCAAAGAAAGTACTAATAGGACAGGATTGTAGAGGAGTGAGAAGCAATGAATGCTTAAACACCTGGCCCTCATTAAGACTTTAGCAATTTTTTTTTAATGTAAAGCAATAAATAGAGTGTACTGGATTACAAGCTTGGACAATAATAAGGTAGGCTAGAATTAAAAGCTAAGCCTCTAGTTCATTGCTTAAAAATCTACTAGTGCTTCACTTTGACTATGGGATCCCTAGTTTTATCTTTGATGGACTCAAGTTGTAACAGAAAGACCTCCCATAAATCCAGCACAGCCTTCCAAATGACATTTAAATTCCCTTTATAATACATCCTATCCACATGTCTCATAGGTTCAATGAATAGGTTTCTTTCTTAGGCCCTCTTTAAAGTTCTTCATGTATGGAGAGATGATCATAAATACTAGGCCCATTTCTCAGATGATCTTGCCCACACTTAACACAATTCATTAGCTTCTTCAGAGATCTCTCTGCCTTGACACATTCAGCCCATGCATTTCTTTTTTTTTTAAGGGAGAGAGAGAATTTTTTTTAATATTTATTTTTTAGTTCTCGGAGGACACAACATCTTTGTTGGTATGTGGTGCTGAGGATCAAACCTGGGCCGCACGCATGCCACGCGAGTACCCTACCGCTTGAGCCACATCCCCAGCCCCCATGCATTTCTTTTTCAGTTGAATAAATGAATGTTTTAAGGTGATCGTTTGAAATTCACAACTTTTTTCTTCTTACAGAGGAAATGTGATCAATATTGGCCAACAGAGAATAGTGAGGAGTATGGGAACATAATTGTCACATTGAAGAGCACAAAAGTACATGCCTGCTACACTGTTCGTCGTTTTTCAGTCAGAAATACAAAAGTGAAAAAGGTATCGAGGGAACTCGGTGGGCTGGCAGGATGTCTCTTTTTAAAAACCAAGTTGGTTTTCATATAACAAGTATTTTTCGTATAAAAAGTATTTTTGAGACATTTTTTCACAAGTCTCTGGATATACCATTGTATGGTGGGAGAGGTACTGGCAGAGCACTTAATAGAATGTAACTGGCACAGCCGGTTTGTTGATCTCTCAAGTTTTGGTAACACTCAGCAAATACAGTAGCATGTATTTGTTGATGTCACTTTTTAATTCCAATTTCCTCACAGCTTCAGAGCATTGTTTCCCAAAGAGTGTTCGATTCGTAGTCCCATGGATGCTTATGAAAAACCAAGTTCTACTATTCAGTAAGAATGGGAGATGAATGCTAGCTCACATATATCCCATTTTAGAAATTTACAGAAATTACAAGTGACTGGAATGATGGAATTAAGAAACCTGTAGAACCGATTCCTGGTGTGACTTACCCATAAACTCCTTTCTATAAAACTACTAATAGCCTGAAAAGTCACACTGCATGGAAATGCTGCTTTTGAGCTGTTTCAGTTTCCGGCTGAAACTCCTCTGTCACAACAATATTTGGTTCTTCAGATAGATAGCTCAGTAATATGGCAATCGTTTGTAGCAGTGGGACCTTTTTTGGCATCTTGGACATGTTTAGAATGTTATAAAATAGTAGCCTCCTTGTCCCAGAAGAATGTACATTTACTCAGACTTTATATACATTTTTGGGTGGCTCTGAAGCCCATCTGTGATCCAAGATTAACAGTCCTTTCTATGTCTAGTTATTTCCAAAAATGGCAGAAATACACGAAAATCGACAGCTCTGTATCTGAGTTCTCTATCATATAGCTGTTGGTCCAAGTGAGCCAGAGCCAATAGACAAAGCATATTATGCATGGGAACCCTTCAGGTGTTTAAACAGGCCCACTGTACCTTCTTCTAGAAACAGCTTAAGTCAGAGATATCAGTTGGAAATTCAGGTATTCTGTATCCTGATAAGAAAAAGCAGAAAAATGAAAGTTTACACACAATGACCTATCAGAGGAGACTTTTCATTCAAAAGGGTTTGTTCCTTAAAGGAAAAGTACTCTGAGAAAGTGGCAGATGCATGAGACCTTGCCTCTGATTCTAGAGATGGAGAATCATCTGACACTTAATATTTTCCCTTCACTTCCTGGGGAATGCACAGCACAACCTGTGCTCCAGAAGGTCTCCCCTTCTGGAGACAATGGGCAAAGAGTGAGAATCATGGCCCATGATCTAGTTGGGCAGATAAAAGCTAAGTGAGGCAGCATTTAGAAAATGGAGGCCTTGCAGGAAGTTGACCAGCGCTCTGGATAGTTCTAAGACTATGGAGAGTCCAGAAGACCAGAATTAAATGTTCATTCTTGGGATTTTTTTTTTTAGTTGTAGATGAACACAATATCTTTATTTATATATGGTGCTGAGGAGTAAACCCAGTGTCTCTTATGTGCTTGGCAAGTGCTCTACAACTGAGCTACAAACCCCATTCTTGAGACGATCTTGGGGGGAATTTTTACAACCTAGAGTTATGCTAGAGTATGACTCCATTTCATGAAAAACATGGCTCAGCACATGGGGGAATGAAAACAGAGGGCATGGGTCCTAACACCCTTACCTTGTTTCCAGAATGCTCATATGCAGATTAAAGAGGTCTTCTTACACCATTCACAGGGCCAAAAAGGAAATCCCAAGGGTCGTCAGAACGAGAGGGCAGTGATCCAGTATCACTACACACAGTGGCCTGACATGGGAGTTCCTGAGTATGCCCTCCCGGTCCTGACCTTCGTGAGGAGATCCTCAGCAGCTCGGATGCCAGACATGGGCCCTGTGTTGGTGCACTGCAGGTACAGCCAGCGTCCTTCTGTTTTTTCTACCTGGGATTCAACACATGAAGGGGGCTGAACAGGAGTTTGGGCCTTGTGAACTTGGACCTTGGAAACTCTGCTACTGTTTTGATTACTTGGGCCAAATCTTCCTCTAAAAATGGGATAAATAAACCTGTTAGTCTTTTCAAGTAGCTATATTTCCAGCACATTAAGAAATCATTTGCAATTCTGAAAAAAAAATCTGCTCAACTAGATGAATCTCTGGTTTTAATAAAATGATCTTATTAGTAAAAGTTCCTATTGTAAGAGCTTTCCACACCAGAGATTATGGCTTTTCTGTAAGGTTCCTCCTAATATTTACAGTACATATGAAAAGATGTTTTTAAAGTTTCTGGTTTATACATGCCGTATAAAATATCTTTTAAAAGGCACTTGGGCTTGGGAAGTCCAGTCAGGAGGATAGCAAGTCGAAAGCCAGCCTTAGCAAAAGCAAGGTGCTAAGCAACTCAGTGAGACCCTGAGTTCAATTCCTGGTTACCCCCCCCCCCAAAAAAAAAGCACTTGGAGCACTTGTAATCCCAGCTACTCAGCCTTGAGACTGAAGAGACAGTTTCAGCAACTCAGTGAGATCCCATCTCAAAAAAAAAAACCAAAGTGAATCCTATTTTTTTTTCCTTCAACTAAAATAATTTTAGATGGCTGTTTAAAAATGCTTTGATTACATTTCATTTGCTATTGCATTCTTGACTTTTTGGGTTTTTGTTTGGCTTCAGTATTCAAATGGATGTTACTTATTCTGTGACTGATGTCATTTTCTCAGCATTTCTTTTGGGCTGTTCTTATAAGATTCTTTCACAAAACAAACCCTTTCCACAAGTTAGAACATATCTTCTACTTGAAATCCCATGAGAACTCTAGTTTTTCACTCATCCATTTAGGAATCACTAAAGTGGAGATGAGTGTCAAACAGCCTAGGTATTGTGCTAGACAGGAACCTTCTGGGGCATTCTGCCCAAACAAGCTTGTTATTCAGTACTGCAGAATTCAGATCTTCCTGGCTATTTATTTAAATCACAATTAAGAAATGCAAATATAAGAAACCAAATTTTCTGAATGTACCATTCTCATTCTACAACTGATTACTAAAGAAAAACATCCCTTATTTAAATGGGAACTGTCTAATAATGAGATCATTAGTTTCTTAGATGTATGCAACAGAGGCAGACGCACAGAAAAGGGGTTTATTAAAAGAATAATGCATACTCAGACTTCCTGGGAGAGTTGGAGAACCAAGCGCAAGTTCAAAGGCTGCCTGCACAGTGCCTCAGCAGGCCAGTCGTGGTGTGGAGATTGCTGCTGCCATGAGACGCCCCTCAGTTCCTTTGCTTGAGCTGCAAGGGGGGCTGAGTGCACACCCTTTGTCTCCCAGCTCCTATGGGAAAGTCTGTACTCCTTGTCAAGATCGTTCATAGTGAGACATGTCCTAGTAAAGTTTTGAGGTGTAATCTATGTGAATATCCTTTGTCATTTACACTAGGTTATCTAGACAAGAGGGTTATTTCTCACTTCATTAGATACTTGCATTGTGACCATGGATTGGGGGGGGGGGGAATGACAAAGTCCTAGTTGAGTGCCTTCATTTTTTACAGCGCTGGCGTGGGCAGGACAGGCACCTACATTGTGATAGACAGCATGCTGCAACAGATCAAAGATAAAAGCACAGTCAACGTCCTGGGATTCCTGAAGCATATCAGGACACAGCGCAACTACCTCGTCCAGACGGAGGTAAGGAGTGACCACCAGTGCCCTCTTGAGATTCCAAAAGTTGAGCCACACTGGAGAGACAGATTCATCCTCTTAGGGCTCGAAGAATTTACAGTTTATATTAGAAGATACACTGACCACAATTCCACTCTTTGGATCATAGGATTCTGTTTCGATGTGGATCTTAACATCTCAGTAATCAAATAAAGTTGCATCATGAGCTGTGTTAGATGCTTTGGGAGTTAAACATGTTTTCTGGCCTGAAAACATGGTAGATGATGGGTCTTAAGCCCTTCATTAAGCACACATTCTCAATTGCTGGCTGCATTGAACCACCTGTTCCAGGCATGGTATGGAATTATAATGGAAAAGGAACCACCTAGTGGCAAATGCTTGAAGGAGCTCACTAGGAAGTCCCTTATGGGAGCAGAGTTAACCTAAGGCTGACTTCGTGAACAGCTGGCTACCTCCACATCTCTCACTGGTGATCACCCCATATCGTACCTTTCAGGAGCAGTATATATTCATCCATGATGCCTTGTTGGAAGCCATTCTTGGAAAGGAGACTGAAGTATCTTCAAATCAGCTGCATAGCTATGTCAACAGCATCCTCATACCAGGAGTAGGAGGCAAGACACGACTGGAAAAACAATTCAAGGTAGTGCTCTGAAAAACTTCTTGAGCAAGGAAGCGAAAAACACCTTGCGTTTGGGATCATGTCTTCTTTGCGTTAATGTATAGAAGGAGTATCTATGTAAACACCACCATTATGTATTGGTGGTGTTTAAGAAGACAGTACAGTGCTGTATTGTCTTCTGAGTAATTTACAGCTTTATCCAAACAAATATCATCCTTTGGCCACAAGGTACAGAAGACTTGAATGGTTTGTTCTGGTTCAAAAGAGTATTCAAGATGTTTCTTCTGAACTATGCAATGATACCTTTATGCACAGTGGTTATTTGTAAATATATTGTCCTCAAAAATATGCCTTTTTAGAAAACTAGACCAAAAGAATTTGGAAACTACAAGAGTTACTACTATACTAAACAATACTATAGAAATTTTAGGGAAAGTTAACTTTTCTATTTTTCTTTGATGGGGACATGGTGAAGTTCAAAGGCAGTTAAAGTTTATATGGACTTGACAGAACTAAAGGTGGAAAAGAGGGACTGTGAGGGCAAATAAATTTAGACCAGAAAAGCTCAAAGAAGTAACTGTAACTTACTAATGCCTCCTGTCTTTCCAACTACTGAGTGCCTTCCTATTTATTAGTCTATTCAAATTCTATTTTTTACAGTGTTCCATATGTAATTTCTCATTTTGTGTCAAGAAAATTAATCTGCAGTTTTCAATGGTAAGGTTTTCCAGAGTCTGAAACTTTCATTTGACTCTTAGCTGAAGAAATGAGACAGCCAAGCAAATTATTCCAGGTGATATGAAAAGAAAATAGGAATGAATTCAATGAAAGTAATCTAACAATAATTTTAAATTTCTGGCTCTTAATGTTCCTACTACAAAACCATTTGAGGCAATTAATTGTGAGGACACAATTTATCATTTTAAATGTTTAAAATGAGTTCTTACAAAATATTAAGTACCAACATTTCATTTGAATCTTTTTTGCAGAATTTAAGAAGAGTTCCGAGATGGGAAAGTGTTAGCCGTGAAAACTAAAATTTTTGCACAGATTCATCTCATTATTTGCATCTTGACACAATATAAGAAATCACATGTAGAACTATGTGCCAAAAAACAAAAATTGAAAAGACTAATAACAGCATCCTTAATTGAAAAATCTGAAATCCATAATGTCACAAGTAGAACCATGAGCCTTGTTTAAAATTACCTTCAGGATAGATATTATACACAGACACATTTCAATCCTAACAACAATTTTAAATTTATAGCTGTTAAACATCCTGGCTATTGTAAAGCCATTTGATTCCCATCTTTAAAATGCAAATTTTTACATATACACAGAAATCTATTCCAAAATCCTAAAGAATATGACACTATGTTAGTTCCACCCATTTTTGGATAAGGGAGACTCCACCTGTATTAGTTTGCACATCCCTTTAAAAAAAATTCTCCAAAGAAATCAGCTCAATTGGAATCCAGGTTATTATAGGCACTAACCATTTTAGAACTCAAAAGGAAACATCGGAAACTAAATCATGAAAATTACCTCTAAGGTGTATGATGGTAGTAATAAAGCACTTGAAGACTGTTCCCATACACTCATTAAGGTAGACCCATACAAAACAGATTGGTTCAATCAAACTACTGATTTTTTTTTTTTTAATATGGGAGAGTGAACATAGGGGCGTTTAATCACTGAGCCACATCCTCAGCCCTTTTTCAATTTATTTTGAGGCAGGGTCTCGCTAAATTGCTGAGGCTGGCTTTGAACTCCTGACCCACTGGGATTACAGGTGTATGCCACCAAACCGGGCTGATTCTTAATAACGGCTTTAGAACAATGTCAGTTTAACAGAAATGTACCCAGAATTTAAGTTCTTCTAGAGTCACTTGAGTCTTATGGGCCGCTGTGGAATTATGGACAAAATGCACAATAGCAGTAACCTATGCAACAGTAAAACTCCACACAGTTCAATCATTACTACACACAGTCCCTGCCAGAAGCCTAAGGCTGACAGTAGAACTAAGACAAGGACACAATCAAGGTCATAGAAAGATGTGCTACTAGTGAAGCAAGAGAGCATTCTTCAGGGCATAAAAATGTGGTTAGTAATCTTATTGATATTGTTCCAAACTGCCTACTAGGTACTATTGGTTATACCCGTGAATGCAGACTAAATTGTTGCTTTTCTTTCAGCTTGTCACACAGTGTAATGCAAAATATGTGGAATGCTTTAGTGCTCAGAAAGAGTGTAACAAGGAAAAGAACAGAAACTCCTCCGTCGTACCATGTAAGATCTTAACAATCAGTTTGATTAGTTCAGTGTGTTGGTATCTTTTTAAATTGGGTTTCATATAATCTGTAAAGAGGCAAATGTTAAGTTGAACTGAGGCAAAGTGGAAGGGTGGCTTTGGTGCCAGCAGTCATCCATCTGATGTGAACTCTATCTTCTACTCACCGAGAAATGTTATCTCAGGACACAGTAGAGGACATTATGGGTGTGCGCTATAGACACAGGCATGGCTGCTCATTAGAGAGGTGAAGAAGGCCCCTGCTTTTATAAGCCTTTCATGAAAAAAAGAGCAAAGTATACTTTTAGGAATACCAAATCTCAAACCCTCTCGCATGTCTGTACTGAACAGTCTCTGAGAGATCTGCTATGAAGACCTCTTGCACAGTAAAAAAAAAAAAATTGATTCCTAAAATGTTTATCCTGAGCATGTGCAGTAAAATTTCATTTTACATTGTTTTAGCTGATAACACATAGGTATAAGTCTTGGACAGGGAGCCAGAGGATAAGTAAATCTCAGAAAGAGCTGTTGGTTCCTATTTATAATATGGTATTATTTTTTTCCATATGATAGCGGAGCGTGCTCGAGTGGGTCTTGCGCCATTGCCCGGAATGAAAGGCACAGATTACATTAACGCTTCTTACATTATGGTGAGTCAACATCCCATTAGACATAAAGTCCATTAAACTGAAAGGTGTTAAAAGAACAGATACCACCTATGCCACAGATTCTGGTTTTGAAATATTCTGTGTAATATCAGACAATGGGGACAACAAAAATAACTAAATGAAGCAAAATGCTTCTTAAGGAATTAATGTCACCCATCTAACCTTTGAATAAATGTTGAAATTACAGTTAAAACAGCAGGGGTAATTTGAAGTGAATTGCACTTGGAGAGAAAATTGTATCATGTTAGCCGAAGTACATCATTAGTGGGGTCAAAACAGTGCTGTTTTGTTTCAGGAGTATATTTTGTCATGTCATAAAGTTAGAAGCGAACCCTCATAACCACTGATTTTTCCCTCTTCCCAAATGAAGGGCTATTACAGGAGCAATGAATTTATTATAACCCAGCATCCTCTGCCGCATACTACGAAAGATTTCTGGCGAATGATTTGGGATCATAATGCGCAGATCATTGTCATGCTGCCAGACAACCAGAGCTTGGTGAGTACGGTACATCTGCTATATATTAATGAGCCCGGGAGGCTACGAACATACTTTGATACCTTGCCACAGGGCTGTACTGTCTGTAGATGCTAGGGAGGAAACTTAGAGTTTCTGTGGGGGTTCACTTCACTTATTCCTGTGTGTTCTATTACTTCTCTAATGCTGATGACATTACCCTTCAGTTGTACTCTATGGGGCAGCATGGTGGAAAGTTTCAGAAAAAGGTGACTTTAGACGGCTGAGCTGGTGTACGTCATATTCCATGTATGCAATCTGTAACTATGCTTACTCTCGATATATTAACCCAGTGAAGCCTCATACCATCTTTAATGACATAAGTACAACTATTCTCGTCTAGTAGCTGAGAAAATAACTGACTTGTCCAAGAGCATGCACAAACAGTTGGAGCCAGGATTTGGATCTAAGTCATCTTGCCTTCAGAGTTCATGCTTTCAATTGATTATTTATTTTTTTGCTCAGAAACAAATAAAAATCATATCAGAAGTACTACTAATGTATCAGGGTCCCCCCTACTCCATGGGTAAGTCAGACCCCCTGCAGGGAAGAGAGGCTTTGGGGATCCCACTTAAGATCTTGACTAAGCTATAATTTCTTTCCCTACTTTAGTCATTCCCTATGGAAGCCTAAACTCTGTAAGAGATGGGTGAACAAATTTACAAAACAGATTTACACATTTCTGCTTAGATCTCCTACATACTTAACTTTCAGAATTATCTGGGTCTTAAAAGGTTACTATGTAAACCCACAAGATAAAAACAATGAGGCTCTGCCTCCATGAGTGTCAGATTAATGAGTTTTTAATCAAGAAAGAACAGCCTGTGATTGAACCCCTAGTCTCCATGACATGCGTTTGACTGTGTGCCCAGTCAGTAGGAACTTCTTCACTTTGTCGCATTTTGCTCCAGCTTCAGAATACCAAGGCTGCTTCTGTATGGTGGAATGGCAGCAAAGTTGAGAATCAAAAGCTGGAGTGTAAATTTTCAAATTAGCTGGCAACAAGGGTCTATTCAGTTTGGCATGTGGAAATTGGAGGCTTTTAGGGTTGTTAAAAGAGTCATTTGTTGGATGAGTCAGTATTTTCTTATTGTCACTTAACAGAGGACAGGCACCATAAAGTATCTACCAGGAGCTCTTTTGTATGGACTGGACCCAATAAGGGGTACATGTTCTGTGGACAGCAAGGGTACAGGAACCACCATCGAACGCATCTATGTCTCCGGGAGGCTGGGCTAGAATAAGTGTCTGCTCTCAATTGTGAGATTAAGAGTTTCATCATTGCACAGTTTTTCTAAAAAACGAGCTCTAGATGATTCTTATTATTGCTACTTGTCTCTACCAAAACTATTTAAGACAATAATCCTGTAAGTAGCCCAAAAGTCACTGGTTCCTAACTCAAAGCACTGTTATCAAGGCTTAGACATCTTTGAACTGTATTTGACAGCAAAATAATGACTCCAGAATGCCTGCTGAATTAAGAAGCAGCACTTGATTTCTTAGTCTTTCAGGATGAATAATTATTCCCTAGTTTGATTTCTCCATTCCAAAGTTTTCTTCTGCCTTTCCTTCACCATAGTTAAAATGTCTTTAATGTCCTTTAAACTAGTTAGGTAATTTACTATTCCTGTTTCTTTGAGGTATGTAGTTTTTTTTATTCCCACTTTTCAGACATGGAAATTAAGACTCAGAAAGACTAACTTATTTGGGATCACATCCGATCTTAGTCCTATGCTTAATCTGTGTACATTGTTTAAATTTAGATGCCCTGCTCATCATTACTTTATACCAGGAATATCTGTTTATGGGGCCATACTTCCATTTCCTTGGACAGAAAATATAAACCCACAACAGTTACAGACTTCTTTTGTATAGACTAAACCCAATTGCTAATCTGTTTCCCCTTATGCTGAGCTTTAAAAATAAAAATGTACTTGGCAATAAGCTACATTGAAACTTGAAAGGGTGATAAGTCTTATTGGACTGTTGGCTCATTTCTAATGCAACCATGTAGGATTAAACAAAGCCTTCTTTGTTTTGAACATTATTCAGAATTATTTTTGACTTCAATGAGAGTAGCTAGGCATTTTCAGGAATATGCCCATAAATATGTACATAGTACAGACAAACTGGAATTTGTCGAATTGTTACATAGGTTGGAGAAGATGATGTGTGCCTGTCTCCATTTTCTTAGGCAGCTAATGTAAAGTTGAAGGACTTTCTGTTTTATCCCCCTTGAAATGCTGCTGGAACTAGAGATCAGAATAGCTGTTATGGAAAACAACACAGAGAGGTTCTAGTAAGAAAGTGAAAACTACCACATCACCAAGAACCTACCCAAAGGAAATGACATCACCACCATCTAAAGATATCTGACCTTCCATATTCAAAATAGCCAAAACATAACGCTACCTGAAATGGTGTTTTCCAGCCCCCCAAAAAGACAGATCATGCAATCGCCACATTGAGCTTGGAGAACATTATGTTAAGTGAAAGAAGCCAGACACAGAAAAATATTGCACACTCTCTAAATGTTTGATTTAAAAAAAAAAATAGAGGTCAAAGGATACAAAGTAGCAGAAATGTGGAATGGATAAGTCTAGGAACTAAAATTGAACTCAATTTATGCTGTTGTCACAAAAAAAGGTGTTAATGTTTTTGACCATAGTAACCTTTTTACTGTGTGTATCCCATAACATGATGTTGCATTCTTTGTAGAATAAAATTTATTTTTAAAACATTCTTTATCATCTACCATATTGTCAAGATAATGCTTGTGAACATCCTTTACAAAATATTCAACTATAGATTTTTTTAATAACAATTCTTAGGAACTAACAGCATGACTTGGTACTTAACCAACTATAAACTAATAAAATTAACTGGCCTACATCCCCAATGGAGCCAGTGTTTGGGGATTGTTACAATGACATGTGAGAGGTGCTGGGAAATGTCTACTATAAAATACATTTTAAGAACCTACAATCACCACTGAACTCAGCATGACTAGGAAGGGATATAATTCTAACTGGAAAGGTATGGGAAATGGCAAACTTAAGAAATCATTTTGCAAGACAATTTAAAAAAACAAATGTTTGACAACACTGCAAGATGGGGGGAAAAAAAACGTTTTTCTTTGTTTCCAAAGGCAGAAGATGAGTTTGTGTATTGGCCAAGTCGAGAAGAATCCATGAACTGTGAGGCCTTTACTGTCACCCTTATCAGCAAAGACAGACTGTGCCTCTCTAATGAAGAACAAATTATCATTCATGATTTTATCCTTGAAGCTACACAGGTAACTGAAACCTCAGTTCCTCTGTAATAGGCATACCTTGGCCCTGGATCATTCTTTTAAGTAATAACAGAGTAATTTGCCATCCTCAAGACAGGCCCAGGCATTTGAGTAAGACAGTTTTATATATGTACATTTCCCTTTTTGATTCCTTCAAATACGTGCTTTTTCCAGTGGGCTAGGTGGAAAGTAACAGTGCACGCTGCAAATCTCTGTTGACCTGATTATAAAAACAATTAGAGCTCAATATTTTCTTTGCCATCAGAAATGTAAGCCTTGCAATGTGTTACAGAGCCAATGATGGATTTTTTAGTAAACAACCTTTTTTAGTGTATAATAAGTACTTTCTTGTGAGAAGAATGGGAGGCTCTTACAGTAGCATTTTCAATAATGATCACTTAAACCCATTTTTCTTTAATTTGTAAAATTAAAGAAAAATGGGTTTAAGTAAGAAATAAAGCCTCTTATAATTTACTGTCACTTGAACAATGATATTCTAGCATGATCTGTTCAATTTTTTTTTTTTTTTTTAACCAGCTACAGTTTGGTCAACCTGACATTGGTTCAGAGTAACATAGCTTTTCAGTGAGCAAGTTTCATTCAGTTGACTGATAGGAAACAATAGACAGGCTGTGACTCATGTCATATTGTTTACAGGATGACTATGTCCTAGAAGTGCGACACTTCCAGTGTCCCAAATGGCCCAACCCAGACGCCCCCATAAGCAGTACCTTTGAACTGATCAATGTCATCAAGGAAGAGGCCTTAACAAGGGATGGCCCCACCATTGTTCATGATGAGTATGTATCTGTTGTTTATTTTAAAATCCCAGACCCTGTTGAATTGCTATGTATGTTAAAAAGGAAAGCAGAATTTTTAAAAGCTACCCTCCCTCTGGGATTACTTTTAATGTGTACTTGCACAAAGTGTTATGGTTCTGTTTACATTTCAATAATCACATCATTATTTATTAGCTATTTACATTGGTTGAATAGTTGCATTTATTTTAAACTCCTTAGACTGAATTTCAGCAGACATTTGTCAGAGAAGGAGCCTTTTAAAAGTATGATTTAGTTATTTAATAGTGATAGAAGCTGAGGTAGAATGATCCTAAGTTCAAGGTTAGCCTGAGCAATTTAAAGAGACCCTGTCTCAAGATAAAATTTTAAAGTGCTGGACATGTGGCTTGGAGATAGAGTGCTTGACTAACATGAAGCCTCAGGTTCAATCCTCACCACAAAAATTAAAAATAGTGACTTCCAATTTATTAGCAAGATTAAAAAAGCATCCTAGTTGAAGTGTTAACACACTAAGATCCATCCCCGGAGATGTGATAACCACTATCAGTGTTTAAACGAGGCAGCTGCTTTGGATCTAAGAAACTCTGTCCTGTAGTTTCAGCATGAAATTAGGGCTGCTTCTAGAGCCCCACCCATCTAGGTCACAATACATTTGAAAAGTCAATCTAAAGTCATTAATGCAGTTAATCTTATATATCATGATGGGGAAAGACAACCAGCAAAACACTAGACAGAACCATTTGATTCACTTGTCTGTTTAGCTTTTATGTCACCTCTGGAATTAATCACATGAAGCTTACTCTTAGCCCGAAACAAGCAAAGAGCTAATTAATTTCTCTATCATCTATGGGGAGATTCATTCATTCAACAGATATTACTCAAGAGCAAACTTAGAATTTTTCAACAGTTGCTAGCACTAGTGCAGTGTCCTAAAACACCAGATAACTTTCAGTTTCCACCTTATATACTTTGGAGGAATGTGCACGCCACCAGGAAGGGATGTTTATAGGTACCCAAACTCATCATCCCCACTCCTGTTCTCCATTCACTTAGCTGCACAAACCAGAAACCCATCAGAGCCCTCTTGGGAGTCTCCCTCGCCCCCACGAATTATCAATATACATTCTTTTAAGATTATTTTCAACATCATTTGACAACCTAGTTTACGTATACTTTTCCATGTGCCATCCCAGTCTTCCACTGAAGACTTTCCTACAGACCACCTTTTATTTAACCAAGACTCACTTTTCGAAACCATCCCCACAGCTGGTAATGTCACATTCTCAGTCATAGGAATAACTCTGAGCACTATTTGTGTACATGGCCTGTTGCTCTAAAGGGCAAAACCCAATGCCTGGGACATAGTGGATGCTGGATAACTATTGTATGAATTCGTACTTCACATTAAGTTATGACTTAAACTCTTAAGAATACTTGCCCCTATGGGAATTATATCCACAGAGCCTTAAGTCATTTTTTCTGCAACCTATAAGATCAATTTACAGGATGTTTTTAAGCTCTGTCCAAAGTAAGAATGACCACTCTTGCCTTGCACGCATCCAAAGAATCGACCTTATTGTACATAAACATTACAGTACTGATTTGTTCTTCATAGACATAACACCTGTTCTCAAGTTATAGACCAGATGGAAGGCATTTTTCAGAGGATAAAATTCCTCACCAAAAGTCAACTTTTAGAGAACAAGTGAAGCTTAAAGGCAAATTGTTGTACTACTCAGCATCCTCTATTCACTATCATTCCTGTAAGTTTTTAAATAGCCTATGTAGATAGTTAATTGTAGATTAGACCACCAGCCATATCATCCCCTTTACTCACAGAATGAGAAATAGTTTCCTGTGTAAGTACTCGACATTGATTATTCACTCTGGAGGTACATCCATCTTCCTATTGGATGTCACAACAGTTCCCAAAGTGTGAGTTGAGGACCACTGGGGGAAGGGTGGTGGCTTCAGGCCTTTCCAGAAGACCCAGGCAGTCAAAACTCTTTTCCTATTAAGACACTGGCTGCCCTCACAGAGCTACTTGACATATGATAAGATCTTCATTCCATTCTCAGGATTAGCAGAATGTGTGCATGTTCTTGAATCTTAACATGTTTTCAACATAAATTTCTAGTAGAGTAAGCACTGACTTATCTAGCCCAGATAAGCAAAAGCTCAGTAAGTACCCTTTGGATTTGGTCCTGAAATCAAAGAGTATGTTTGAATACTGTTCTATTTTGTAAAAAATGCAGATTCCTCTCTGTACCCACTAGTGCAAGGATACACACAAATCACAGCACACTTATTTCCATAATCTCAAAATCATCTCACTAAGAAATTTTATGATCTCCACCCCACGTAAACAGGTTAGAGTGAATTGCCTAGGAGCTGTGTAGACTTCTAGTGTCGGGCAGAACCAAGTCCATAATTAGTAGGTTCTAGCATAATATAGAGACCCCTTGCTAAAAAAATGAAGAATCTCCACATGGCAAATGCACAGCATTACACCAACTGCAGGACCAGGTCCATTGAGACAAAGGGCCCTACAGTTGCATAGGAGGCAAGCCAGGAAGCTAACCCTAGGCATATGCAAAGTCACACATTGAGTGAAATATGGCTCAACGAGGGAAAAGCACACTCCATCACAAAGATAAGGATTGTTTTCCAACTTTTCTGACTGGCTCTAAAGAGCTAAAGGTGGGGGCCATTGAGTTTATTACACTAGAACAAGTGAAGTTCAAATACTATGCTAACATAAGGTCAACTCAATACAATTTGAAATCAGGAAAAAGAACATCATGACTAGTAAACAAAAAACAACAAATCAAAGTTCACGGAGTTAATTAAAATAACATGCTCAGGGATCTATAGGAAGGTTTCATGAAATAATTAAGAATATGTGTTATGAAGCAGGAAAAAACATTATTTGTAAAATTAAAACCTAAGAGATAGGCTCGTAGTGGAATATGCTGAGCTAAAAATCAAACCAGGATATGGAAGCTAAATACAGACATCCTAACATATGCCTGAGAGGTGATCTGCAGAGAGACAGGACAACAAAGAAGTAATGACTGAGGTTTTCTAGGCATTGAGATCTTCAACTGAAAGATCGGGATGGGATAGGATACTTTTCAAAATTAACCTTCTGAGAGACTTGAAAGCCACAGCTATTCTGATAGCATCAGAGAGAGGTCTGTACCCAGAAGAAATTGTAAGGAGAGACTTCACAGTCTTTTCAAACACTTTAAACAACAAAAGCAAAACTTGTAATTTCAGTTCATTCCTAAAAAATTGGATGCCATACATGGCCACACTTGTTGATTACAATGCATTAATATTATTAACCCACATTGAAATAAGATTCCCCAATCCTTATGCCTAGAAGCTGAAAGTCTTACACCTATAATTACTTATAAATAATTCATGGGTTAAAGAGGTAACCAAAATAGAAATTGCAAAATGCTTAAGACTACATGAGAAAGGGAGGATGAAACCAAAGCCTAAGTTTTTGAAATGCAAAGTACATTCTGGAGAAGGAAAAAAATATGTGGCCCAAGTTACATCTATTAAAGATAAACGGCTTTCAACTAAAGAAGCCCCAAAATACAAGGAAACAGACTTAAATTTTACTTGCTCCTCCTCTTTCATTACTAATAACAACTTTGGCAAATGTGGAGATAAATTAAGGTTTAAAAAATAAAACCACCATTTTCTGTAGTTACATTTGAGAACATTTGAGAGTTGTTAATAGTTTTGTACTAAAATAATTATGAATAAAATACCTGGACTGTGTCAACATGGGAGGAACCAGATGAAAGTGGAGCATCCCTAAGCCAGGTGCGACTGAATGATGGCTACATGAAGGCCACTGTACTGTTGTACATTTGTGTATTTAAAAAATAGATATTTATTGACAACTGTGACTTTAAGCCTTGATGATATGCATATTAAGATAATGTTTGCTGAACACACAGTATTGCCCACCTCTGCTCTTAGCCATTGACACGCATCAGCTGAATTTTAAGCTCTATTTAACTATGAGAGCTTAACCAGCTCGTGTACCTGAACATGCCCTGCTTCTTCAGCCTCGGGTCAGGATAATAATAGTATCCACACCATAGTGTTATTGAGAGGAGTAATTTGGTACATGTAAAATACCTAGAGTACCACCTGACACATAAATGATTACAATTTGAAAAACAAAAAGTTGTTATCCAATGTTAGAACCCACAAAGTCCTAACTGAGGCTACATCTAAACAGTAACAGATAAGACTTTATGCAAACCTGATTTAAACAGACAAGGCTGGCACAAGGAAAAACAAAGGCTAATCTTACATATTTGATTATGGATATGAAATTTTAAATTGTCTAATAAAACCCAAATAGTCAGAGAATGGCATATTATAAAGATTTATTCTGATGATGTACTGCTGGTTAAATGTCACAAAAAAATCTATTAGTAAATTCAGGACATTATGAAAGGGATTCCAAAAAGTCAATAGGAAGCATTCAATACTTTTGGCTAACTAAAAATGGTAAGTATTTATCAAAAAGCCTAGACCAGTTACTTTTATTTTGTAGTGAAAACTTAGGCTCTGCGACTGAATACAAGCTCAACTATAAACCAGGATGGAGTGGGGTGAAAGGCTGAAAATACCTGTAAGTGAATGTATAAGTGAACATCATATATGGGCTTGGGGCATAGCTAAAACACGTTTAGCATGCATAAGGCCCCAGGTTCAATCCCTAGCACCAAAAACAGAAAAAATTTTGTAAGATATTTAAAACACTAAAAACAATGTGAAAGAAATTATTATAGAAAGCGATCAGATATAAAAATTTAAGACCTACAGGAATTCAAACATGGACCAGCATAAAAAATAGAGAACAGAGTTCAGAAACAAGCTGCATAAGTGAGAATGTAATATCTGAGAAAAGATCAGAGTATTTAATAACAAATGTTGGAAAAGAAAATAACTAAAATCAGATCATCAAGACTGATGAATTAAGTAATTAAACAAAATAGGAAATACAGAATTTTTAAAAAATATTAGTTGTAGATAGCCACAACACCTTTTTCTTTGGCGGGGGGGGGTGAGAGGGAGACTGTGGCAGTCAACCACAGAGCCAAGTCTTACCAAGTTGCTTAGTGCCTTGCTTTTCCTGAGACCAGCTTTGAACTCGCAATTTTCCTCCTGAGCCTCTGGGATTACAGGCATGTGCCAACATGCCTGGCTCACAATGCTTTTTTTTTTTCCCCCTGTGGTGCTTCCACATGCTAGGCAAGCACTCTACCACTAAGCTATTAATCCCAGTCCCAGGAGAATACTTTTAAAATACTGGTCCAGGGAAAGCATTAAAAATGTCAGAAGTTAAAAAATTGATAAACTTGATTGTATCAAAACTATATACTCCAATATAATAAAAAAGAGCACAATGGTAAGAGAATGGGGGAAAAATAGTGGCAACATATACTACAGACAATATAAAATGACTCCTATAAATACATTTAAAAAAAAAACTAATAGAAAATTGTCCAAAGTATAGTAAGCCATTTCAGAAAAAGAAATACAGATGGTCAGTAAAAAACATTCAGCTCTCCTAGTAATCAAAATGTTCATTAAAAAAAAGTTAAGAGGGGCTGGGGTTTTGGCTCAATGGTAGAGGGCTCGCCTTGCACACGCAAGGCCCTGGGTTCGATACTCAGCATCACATATAAGGTTTTTTAAAAAAGGGGTGGGGGCGGTAGAGTGCTCGCCTAGCACGTGCAAGACCCTGGGTTTGATGCTCTGCACTACATTAAAAAAAAGTATTAAAAACAAAAAGATTAAGATACACTTTCTCACCTAAAAGACGGTCAAAAGGATGAGGAAGCAACAAGTATTCTCACTGTGGCAGTATCTTTTAAAACTAAAAAATGGGCAAGCCTTTGCTCTAGCTGTCCTACTCCTGGCATCTGCTCAAGTTCACAGACACAAGTTAAACATCCATCAGTAGGGAAGTGTGAGCTGGGCCAGCATGTATCGAAGCACCTAAATCTGGAAGGCTGTACCTAAGATTTTTGCCTCTGGGTGACGATTAAACTGGACTTCATTCTTATGACGTAAACATCATAATATTTTCATCTCATTTTAAGAATGATTTCAGAAACTCTAGTTAGTAGTTCTTCAGAGAACAGGAGCATGGGGCATCTAAACACTGATCTTCTGCTGTGAACAAGCAATACCACCTTGAACAGTTTGTCTTCTCATTACACACATGGAAACACTGTGCCATCACAGATTCCTAGGCTGATCTTTTTTGTGAATCAGAACCAAATTTATTTTTCTAAGGATCTTATGGAATCTCCTCTCATTTGGAATGTTCTTCTTCATTGTCCCAAATAATTTAGATGAAACTAATTTTGAAAATTCAGACTTTGAGCCATGTTCAGTCACATGTCACTTAATAATGGGGATCATTTGATTACATCTGAACTTTCACATTTTTTACATTTTATTACATCTGTCTGATGACGGGGTGGGGGAGGGAGAATATCCAAAAGCACTGTTAGGCGACTTGGTTGCTGTGGGAACATCACAGAGTGTACTCTCACACTCCTAAGTGATGAAGACGAGTATTTTTGTACCGTGCACAGTTGTCTGTGCTATACTTCTATATGTGATGGCAGCACAGTGGGTGTGTTTACACCAGTTTCAACACACACACACGCGGAACATGTTCCATGAAGATATTATTACAGTTATGACATCACTGGGCAAGAGGAATTTTATAGCTTCCTTATAATCTTAAAGACTGTCATTGGTGTTGTCTGTGGTTAACTGAAATGTCTTTATCCAGTACATGACTTATTTTTTATTCTTCACATCTATAAGTTCCATCTAACCATTTGAGATTGTTAAAAAGCAAAATTTTTTCCACAGCCCTTCACCACTTGCTAGTTATCCAATAGCCTAAACTTAAGGATCTCGTATTGTTTTTACTATTCATCAAATCTATAGCTCTCCCAAGTTACGTTTGAAACTCTTATTTCATATTAGATATCAAACTAAGCATCTGATGAAGCAGTTTGGGAAATTTCATATTCAAAAACATTATGTCACCTTTATGCAAGCTTCTAAATCCCCCTGTCCAGAGTTCACCCATTTTTGTCTTCTAGAATAGATGTGAATAACAGTCTAGTTCGTTTCTAAGAAAATACATGATGGTAATTTTGTTCCAGTAAATTCAGTCTCTTAGTAAATCTGAGTGTCTTTTTTCCCCCTTCCCCAGGTATGGAGCAGTTTCAGCAGGAATGTTATGTGCCCTTACTACCCTGTCCCAGCAACTGGAGAATGAAAATGCTGTGGATGTGTTTCAGGTTGCAAAAATGATCAATCTTATGAGACCTGGAGTATTCACAGACATTGTAAGTAGTTTGCATGTATGTAAAACATTTACAACATCAATTGAAACTCCAACTTATGCCTGTAGAGCAGGGGTTGTCAGCTAGGGGTGATTCAGCTCCCAAGGAACATCTGGCACTATCTGGAGACTGTTTTTGGCTGTTGCAACTGTGGACAGAGAGGTGCTCTGGCATTGAGTGGGTAGAGGCCAGGGATGCTGCTAAATATACTCAAGTGCCCAAGAAAACAAAGGAAGAATTATCTAGCCCAAAATGTCATTAATGCTGCCATTGAGACCCTGCTTTAGAGTACAGAACGCTTTGTTGTAAGATGTAGATATTCCACTATTCTTGTGAACTACCAGACTAATAGAGATCAAGAGGAGATGATATAGATCTTAATTTTATGTAAGACTCAAGTGCTCTTTAGGTTTGGGGGGTAGTACTAAGCTATATCCCAGCCTTTCTGGTTTTTTGTTTATGAAAGAGGGTCTTTTTAACAAGGCTCAAGGCCTTGAACCGAGATCCTCCTGCCTTGTCCTCTCAAGTAGCTGGGATTACAGGCAGGTGCCACCATGCCCAGCCTCAAGTCAGTTTCTTTTTCTTAGATAGCATTTTGCTATTCCTATGCCTTTTTAGTATATTTTTCACAATTACATTTTTCATTGGTATTTTCATCTTAGGTGAAATGTCTAAGCTCTTTTGGCTCACAATGTCTTCCTCTTACTTTTCAGGAACAATACCAGTTTGTCTATAAGGCAATGCTCAGCTTGGTCAGCACTAAAGAAAATGGAAATGGTCCCATGACAGTGGACAGAAATGGTGCTGTTCTTATTGCAGATGAATCGGACCCTGCCGAGAGCATGGAGTCTCTGGTGTGACTGGAATCCTGAGAGGGCACTTAATTTGTAAACTTCTGAAGACAGAGAACTTTTTTGAGGCCTTTTTTGCCAGACTCTAGGTTATACAATAACCCAGTTACTTTTTTACACTGATAAAAGTTTTGATATTTATTTTTTGCCATTTTATGTCTTAATGGTATCCTACTGAGCATTTGCACCTCTGTTCATTTCACACAGTGAAACGCAATTTTACCTAGTTTGCACTATATGATCAGTGTTACTGCCTATAATCTAATATTAAAGCAAACCCTGATGTGACATTCCATGACAACATGCAAGTTTTTAGTTCAGTACAATGAAGGTCTTTGTTGTGACAGTGAATCTTGATTTTGTCATTGTTGCTAACGCAGTCATTCTACTAGCAGGCAATGCTGTGCTTCTCCCGGTCCTCCCCTCCTGTTCTTCAGGCACTGTTCAATGCTGAATGCCTTCTGTATTTTAGTGGAGTGGATGAACATTGTTTTCTTTTCTAGAACTTCAGGCTATTGGGAGCTACTAAGAAGGTCTGTCAACATTATGGCCTTGAAATTGTTCCATTTTTAATGGTTAAGAGAGCCATTAAGAAATGAGAAGGCTTAAGAGTTGCCTCTTGTGAACATCTCTTATTAGTTTTAAAGTTATATTCACAGCTTACAAAAATGTGTCAAAATAAAGGATAACTCTGTATTACAGCTTTCCTAGTAGCTATGTGGACAGTGTGTGTTCTTTCCTTTTTGACTCTTGGAAATAGCTACACCCTAAAATCTGGGCCCGTCTTTTACTGTATCGAGATGGCAATGTTCTCCACAACTCAGTTATGAGAACCTTAAGTTAATCCCTACTAATGTAATGCTTCTTGGTTTATAATACCATACCTCACAATAGGTAGGAGAATGAGAATTAGTGCAAGTATGTGATTTTTGAAACTAGTTCTCTAAAAATCCCCCCTACTCATATAGCAATGTAATAAGAACTACCTATACAGTTAACATTCTTTCCTTTTTTTGCCAAATATTTCACAATAAATCCCTTAAGTACATACATTCTTCTATGGAAGGTTAAGTTGAAAATACTGTATTAGCCAGTGTCTTGGGGACTATTTAAATTTCCACACCTAGATAAATCTTATTGGGAACAAGACAATTAGAATCTTGAACAAAAGGTGATGTCTACATTTCCAAGTCATTTTAAAAGAAAGAGACCGCTTTGAATGCTTTTGTGTGGTTTAGTCTCAAGAACACACACATACTTCAGTAAAAGATGCTGATAAACCATTAGAGAGCCCAAGGAAGTTATTTGTCCACACTACATAACGGGAAATTTAGTCAGAAAAATAAGCTACTTGTTGAAATCTTTTCTTCCATTGCATGTTTGCTTTTGAGCATCAGCTTCTATCAAACTTGAAATCATCATCAGAACCGGGCCTATTAAAAACAGCTTGGCTTATTTTTAGTGCCAATAAACTTGGACAGAAAGACCACAATGACTGCTATCATATTTTTCAGGGTGGGCATTAAAACACAGATGTTTAGCACTGAGGTTCTACTCACCTTGAGTTGGCCTACATGGAGTTTGTCATAGTTGCTAAGAAGAGAGGGTCTCGGAGCCAAGTCCAAGGGTTTCAATGCATAGGCCAGGACAACAGTTTTCATGAACTACCTAATTATCAGGGTTAATCTAAACTTCTCATCACACAGATTCAACCACAAAGAGTAGTCTACTTTTGAAGAACTATATAGGCTATCTTGAGTAAAAGTGTTCCAGTGAACAAAGTTTGCTAAATAGTGTGTGCTAGAAGACATAGGCACTTTCACAGCCCTCTGCTCCCACCAGAGGTGACTCTACCTGACACAAGGAACACTTGAACATTGGTACCCTACAACTCCCTGGAGGCTGAAGGGACGTAGGAGAGGAAAAGTTTCAGATCATGGCAAGAACTAGAGATTTTTAGTGGGGTATTTTAGTTGTGCAGGGCATTGATATGAGCTAATGTTTTTCAGTAGATAGTGCAGTGGTTTTGACATTCAGAAATAACATTTGAATTGGTGTCTCAGTAATTTTTCTTAATAAACACTGGTTAGGAGGCAAATAGCAAGTATTCCCTTCTGTGCTATTTATAAAGAGCTCAGTGCATTGAAATGCATACCCCCCAACATAGTTCTGTGACTCTTACATGCACATCAGATTAATGATAAAACAGCTAGTGAACAGGACAGAAACATGATAAAAATGGTTTAGAAGTTCTCTGGGCAACCTGTCTCTACAGCAGACATGAACCAAAGTCTGTAGACCTGAACTCACTGAACTGTGAGCAACACCTATTTGCCCATCTTGCCAAAGTGGTCCAGACCCACTACACGGAGTCCAGTTATCTTTAGTCCCTCACCCTTCACCAGAGTGTATCCTCAACTGTTAGTCATTCCTCACTGGCAAAAAAATAAACTTAGATCTTTTCTGGAGGCACAGAGTTCCAAAGACAGTGTCTGAACACATTGCTTAAGGACATAACAAAGTTTTTACCACTTGTCTCAAGGGGAAAGGAAATAGTTCTTGGAAGTCAGTGTGTGCTATTGAAAGTAAGCTGTGTGTTTGAATTCAGCACCAGGTAAACAGAATGCACACATCCTATAAAAAAACTGAATGACTATAGTCAGACCAGCTGTGCTGGACATCCAAGACATCTCATTGCCACCAGGAGACCATTCTTGTACCTGACAGCCACAATACCAATCTTTTACACTAAAAAAAAAAAAAAAAAGAATGTCTGAATTTCAAAACAATTTGAGAGTAGCTCACTGGTTTTCCTAATTTTTTATGGCTTGGAGTCCATTTCAAATAAGAGTCCAGCAAGGGCAGAGAAGGGTTATGATGTTCAAGGTCTAGCTGCTTGAGTGTTTAGCCCAGAGTGACACTGAAATCCATAAATAACTTTAATTATTATTTTTAATGACAGCACAACTGCCTTGTTACCACTTTTTCCTTAAATGCATATATACTATATTTAAAATTAAAATATAGATACCAATTTACCAAAGATACATATTACTAATTCTAAGCAAAAAAAAGGGGGGGGACCCAATCTCATCCTAATTTAAGAGAAAATAATCAAAATGTAGTTGTCTTAAGGATTTAGCAGTTATACTGGAAAATGCATTTTCAACTCCTATGTTCCAAAATTTCTGTTCATGTGGTGCCAGTGAATTTTTATATGAAGGGGAAAAAAATGCCTGCTTTTTTTTTCCCCCAGCAGCTGTAATTTCACTTTACCCTTTGCGCTTTCTCCCTTAGTTGCCATTTAACATACAATATTGGCTTTCCTTATCTCTAGAAAGAAGGCATGCTAAAAATAGAAAGGAATTGTAATAATGGTATTTGGCCTCTACTTTTTGTCTTAGCTGTTAAACTGTTTTTAGTATTTTTGTTAAAAATTTGCAAAAGGAAGCATTTTCTACAGAGGATAATTAATTTCAAGAAAAATATCTTGAGTTTTAAGAAATAAACATCTCCAAAAAAGGAGACAGTCAATTTTATAAAATGTCGCAACTCTCCAACATTTGGGGTAGTGACTCCTTTTTTTTGTTAGAATATTTGAAACTAGCAAGCAGCCATTGTTTCTAAAGAATCCACCCTTCATGTCGAACCGTGTTTCTTTCACTTCATTTTGAAATAGCTAAAACCATTAAAACTGTAAATATTTTGTTGCTTGGGTAAGCATCTTCTGGAAACTTTGTATCTATGGTATATAATCATAGAATTTTATATTTTCATATAAAGCTAATTTTTTTCTAGTTTCAACTCCGTCGTAGTTTTTCTTTCTTTCTTTTTCTTTCTGTGGTGGATATGTGAATTCAACTTTCTGTGTATTGAAGTAGCAAGAACCATCTCTGCATTCCAAAAGAATCCAACGTGTTATTTCTTTGAGGCAGTGATTGTGAAAGTTGGGCTTTCTTTTTAATTCCATTGAACATTTGTGCAATAGGAATTAGACATAATTAGTCACTGAATACATTCGTTGCATTGACCCATTTGGAAAAGTGATTTTTTTTAAATTTGTTCTGGGGGGAGGGGTTTTGTAACCTGAAATTTTTCTCTTTTTTCTTCTGTTTAAAACTATATCAAATCATTCTATTATAGTGTTATTTAATATGTAAATTGTATTGCTATACATAAAATAAAGTATGGTTTTTGATGTATTCATTAGTGCTGAGCATTTCTGTGAGAATGTCTACTCTCGATAAAATCAGCTTTCTAGATTTCCTTAACAGCACATTAATACCCAGTAACCCTCTGTCTTATTTTTCATGGCAATGAAGTGAACATTAGTAGTCATTGTTACACAGGCAGCAAACCAAAGGAAGTGGCTTTGCCGAGGTGATTTATCCATTTTCTTCCTCCTTTAAAAAGTAAACAAATGTGCTGGACATGGTAGTGCATGCCTGTAATTCAGTGACCTGGGAGGCTGGAATGGCAGGATCACAAATTCAAGCCCAGCCTGGGCAATTTAGCAAGACTCTGTCTCAAAATAAAAAGGGCTGGAATTCTGACATTTCCAAACAGGGATACACAAGTCCTATGGGCTACCATTCTATCTTCTAGTGATTCCACATCCAGTGCTCAACTCTTTCTAATAAGGACCTACTTTTTCTTTCCATATAAGAGCTGGTATTTAATTCTCCCCAAGTTATTGAGAATTTAAAAAAACAGTATATTAATCCCATCTAGGAATATATGGAAGAACAATTCCCCAAAACAGAAAGCATCTCTCAGGTGACACGACCCTAGTCTCCCTCACACTATACCCATAACGACTCTAACACTGTTATCAGAGCATATATATACCAACGGTCACAAATTGGATAGTCTGTAGATCCTGGTTGTTCTATGAATCACACTTGATTTTGCCCTGTGGTTTTCTTTTAAATTCATATTAGTTGCTAACATTTAAAAAATGAAAACCTTTACATTCAAATTCCAAGCTCCTTTCAAACAGTTCTCCCTTTGCGGTTGGGTAGGGACTCTCCAGATCACATCTCTCCCTGTCACCTTATGTCTGGCCATCATCCATCACAAAATCTGATTGTAATTTGCCAATAGCCAACTCGTGGTTCCCATCTTCTAAGTTCTTTTATTTGATATTCCCAACATAGGTAGGTGAAAATATGAAAAAAGGGATCATCTTCCATCTCTGGCCAGTAAACTGACCACCAAGGGCAGCAGAAGTGTTTATACTGGTCTTGCATCATTAAAGTCCCAATAGTCAGAGCAAAGCAAAGGGTTTCCTACGTTCCTAACTCACTGAATCCACCCAAAATGATGTCATTTAACAGCAGTTACAACTGTTCAAAATTAAATCCCTTTTCTAATTACATCGTTTTTACTATACTGCATGTAACCCTAGATGAGGAAGCTCCACTTCCACTACTAAGAACAGGCAAAGAAATAAGAGTGCAAAAGCACTGCCCCAAAACTCCAGTTTTTAAACAGCTAGTTGTGGAACTTAGGAAACGTCCTAGGATTTAGGAATAAGTCAGTGATGATCATGCCTGGATTCAGAGACTGGCTTCATATTTTCACCTACCTATGCTGGGAATATCAAATAAAAGAACTTAGAAGATGGGAACCACGAGTTGGCTATTGGCAAATTACAATCAGATTTTGTGATTATGAAGTGAAATTTGGCAAGGAAGATCGCAAGAGCTGCAGTTCATCTGATTCTAACAATTATCTTGCTCAAAAATTGTAAAAGAAGAAATTAACATAACTTATGTGTTGTAATTTGAAATCATTTGACTTGTTGCTGCTACAGGCCTATACACTAACTATTTTCCCTTCCCCACATCCTACATCATCTGCAAGGTGTAAAGCCAGGTTTTGTGGTAATATCCAACAGACCTTGCAAAACTTTAGAACATTCTAAAACAGACATCTTTAACATGATGTTAGAATCCATTCCACGAACATCCCATAAGTCATCCCATAACTATACTACTCAATTTACATTCTTGTTTGCGGATATCTTTCAAGTCAGACAAGGCAAAAATAATTTAGTCTTAAAATGTGTTTTCAATTTATTCAGAAATATTTATTTGGCTCTAGGTTTTTAGAGAAAAAGTGAAAAAAAAAAAAAAAGTACATCACACTTTGTACCAGCATGAGCAAACAAGTAAAACTAGTAACTACAGACATTCCTATTATATACTGTGATCATGAAATTCTATTCATTCTATATTAAACTAGGTATTTGAACTTAGAAAGCACCTGTCCATAGGGGGAAAATGGCTCAAAAGTAAGAATCATGGGATCAAAACAGCCAAGGTTCCAGTTAATTCTGCCACTTACTGACAGTAACTTGGTCATGTTACTTCACCTACGTGCCATTTTCCTCTTCTGTGAAATATAGAAACTCAAACTGTTAAGTAAAGGATACGTGCAAAGACCCTGAGACAGCAAGTACTCAATATTAGTCATTAGTATCTTATAATCCCGTTTTACTTAATTGCTTAGCAGACCCAACATCAATCATGAAACAAAAAGTCAACTAGTGGCTGGCCCATTTAAATAGTAATATTGTCCTTGGCACACACCTGTAATCCAGAACTCAGAAGCCTGAGGCAAGAGGATTGCAAGTTCAAGATCAGCCTCAGCAACTTAGCAAGACCATGTCTAAAAATAAAAAATTAAAAAGAATTGGGTTCTTTATTATTATTTATAGTTTACTGAAAAGCACCCCTGGGTTTAATCCTCAGTACCATAAGTAAATAAGAAATAAGTCTAACACTAAGAAATTTCCACAGTGAAGTGCTCACCAAATGACATCATATCCAAGGGAGGTAGATGGAGATAAAGGTGGACAGTGGAAATAACTCCTATATCCTAGTATTCAGAAACAAAAGTGAGGGCAGAAACAGGAAATGGACAAAAATGCATGATACTTTAAAGCCCATTTCTCTTATTAAAGTTTCAATTTTGGTACATTCCAAGGTTTATTGTCGTCGTTTTTTGTTTTTGTCTGTCTATAGTACTGCAGATTGAACCCAGGGAGTGCTCTACCACTGTGCTACATCCCCAGCCCTCTTCTTTTTTGAGACAGGGTCTCACTAAGTTGCCTAGGCTGACTTCAAACTTGGAATCTTTCTGACTCACCCTCCAGAGCAGCTGAGATTATAGGTTCGCCACTGTGCCTGGCTCCAAGAAGGAAAAGCTCCCTAATTTCAGAAAAGAGAAATAGGAGGCTACGTGATTCTTGCAAATGTTAAGCCCCAACTGCAGAATGTTGCACAGTAATATGAAAAAGGTGTATGCTGTTTCTATCACTAGCAGCAGAGCTCTTTCTGTACCCCCAGGATCCTATAAATCAACATAAACAGTGAGATTGTCTATATGCTCAGTTGATTTGTTTTAATCTTCCACATCTCTCAGTACTTTCTACAGATCACTCTCATTATCATCACCTTCATCATCCCTCATCCTGGATGCATGGCCTGGTAAGCCACTCACTATTATATTATGATGAACTAGCTGTAAATGAGGGCCAACTCCTGTTTTAGGAACATATTTTTAAAGCCAATAAAGTCTATCTTTTTAGAATACCTCACCAGACAAATGAGATCATCTGTTCCTATGCCAAAACTTTAATGACTCAAAGAAGAATAATGAGATATAACCAAAGTTGTGATTATTTTTCTTATAATTCCTGGTGTTTTAACAATAAATATCAAAATATATTCCAACACTTAACATTTTCATGACTCTTGAATC